TGTTTATTGTTGGTATCTATAATCTGTGAAGCATTCCTTGTAAAACACAGTAGTTTGGCATAATTTTGCCTCTTGCATTTCTTTTATAATTTCATGCATATTATTTGTGTAATATTCTTTATAGCTCAATAAAACATATACATAGAGCAACTATCAAGAAAATTCTTGTTCTATGGGTGATGAGATAAAATTGATAATATATTTAAAGCTCTGACATTTTGATTAGAATTAGATTTCTTTCAAATTTACTGGAATGGATCCTACCAAATGTCAATCCAGAATCAGCATAAACTAGTGCTTAAAGAGTTATAAAACAATATTGCAGCAGTAATGTAGTGCTCAGTTATATAGTGCCAGAAGTTGTTAGAAATATGTTCTTAGAGGTTAATTTCAATTATGTTGAGCCCATATTATATAAAGAAAATATATTCAACACTATTTATATGAAACTATTTCTATTAAAGCCAAATTGAATATGCATATAGTAGCAAGAGAAAACATGCAAATATATTTTCTTTAAATGAAGCAGCAAAGCAAAAGAACAACTGTGTATCAAATAGAAATCATTAATATTAAAACAAATTTCAGTGTTGCATATCTTATTAACTTACTATCTTTCTAACTGCACTATAATATTAACAGTTGATTTTTATAATGCTCTGCATACTTATCATCCTACCAACACTAACAGCTAAAACATCACCTTTGGTTATGAAAGACTTAATTTTTACATACATATTTTTAGTTTTTGAAGTGTCAGGGTTCCACTCCAATTTCAGGTGCTAGGTTGATGCTCCATTGTGCTCTGGCAGCATTGCTCCTCTGTGTTTCAGTGTTTTTTTTGTGCATCCTGTACTTTGTGAAATTTCTCATCATTTAATGGATTTAAAAATTAATCTCATGTCACTGTTTTAGTGGATCAGTTCCTTCAATCATTCAAGCAGTGTGCTGTTGCTAGTGGTAGGGCAAAGAGGATTTTAGGTTGTATCTTCAGAAATAGTGAATACAAGTCTAAAGGATACTGGTTAGACCACATTTGGGGTATTGTGTTCAGTTTTGGGCTTCTTACCTTGGTAAGGACATTGAGATGTTGGAAAAGTTTCAGAAGAGGATTACTAGGATGATACGTGGGACGTAAAGGTTATCATACTTGAACAAGAAGGGTTAGAGAAGATCAGATTGAGGTGTTTAAGATTGTAAAGGGACTTGCTAGTGTTGACACATCTTTTTTCATATACTTGATGGTGAGAATGGTAGAGTAGGACTCATTTTTTGCTAAAACAGTTTTATTTTGCTAATAGGATAATTGGCCTTTTGCATGGGTTGCCTTCAGATGTGGTGGAAGCAGTAAATTTAGGGGAAAGCTTGATAAATGTTTGGATGATAATGACTGGATTTAAATTTTTATAGTTCAATGAATCGGACAGCCTAGATGGATCAAGAAGTCCTTGACTGTCTTTAAATGTATTGTTAATAATTCAAGATTGATTGTTAAAGAAAAGTATGAAAGTGTCTTCGTGAAATACTAATATATTCCCTCCAAATTGAAATGATTTTTAACAAATCAAATATAACCAAAACATCAGTGAGATTCACCTGTGGATATGAATAAGAAAACTTTAATATCAGACTTTTTTTTTCTTTATTTATTCTAATAGTTCTGTGACTTCAAAGGCCACTCTTCATGAAATAGTTTTACTGAGAATCTATAACAAAAACATACAAATACTGCTTTCAACTAAACATAAATAATTTAAATTAACTGCATATACTTTCCAAATGTACAAACCTATAATACAGTCCATTTATAAATTATGTTACAAATGTTCAAAAAGTTAGACAATACATTTCCCTTTTAAATTAAAATCTTATTCTAATTATAGTTTTTCTTATTATTATAATAAATGCAATTTAATTATCTTATAATTTCATACTCTTACTTACTTTTTCTTTTCTGTAAGTCTTAGAAACTGTTTTCATGGTTTCACAATTCTTACTGAATTTACACAACCAATTGCTTCTACCCTCTTACTACTGCCAGTTTAAAGTGGCAACAAAAAAATTTATAAAGTATTTTTTCAAATAATAATATTTACTTTACATTACATTCCCAAAAAGGGGAAACATGAAAATATGGTTCTTTTAGAATTTTAAATTTTCTCAAGATACATTCATTAAAATATTTAATGGCATACAGTGAGCTTTTTTCGGGACATTTAACATAGAATTCATGTAAATTTATCCTTAGTCTTAAATTATCTGTTTTACCAATATATAATTCACCACAATTTGCACATTTTAAAAGATATATTACATTCTTAGAATTGCAATTAAATGAGTTATTAATAAAAACAAAATTTCTTTGCAGTCACAAAACTGGTAGAAGAAATTAATAAAAGAAGGAAAAAAAAAGTCTGATATTCTAGTGTTTTCTCTTATATATATATATGTGTGTGTGTGTGTTTATTATTCAAATTTACTATATTTTAGTAAAAAATTTAAAATTCATATTAATGGTTTTCAGCTTTGTAAAAATTTTAGTGTTATCAAGTTTGACCTCATCTATAACTTCTGGATTTTTATTAGTAGTAACAGAAGTTAGTTTTAGCACTGTCTGTGTGTGAATATACATAACATACAGTGGTAAATTAAAGTGTACCCAAAATTATTTGAAAATCTATGTGTAAAACAATGTTTTCTGACCTTATTAAAAATGCTTGACTAAATTTTTCTTAGTCATATGTTAATGTATGATAGAGAGAAATTCTTTTAGAAATTAGATTCTTAAAGGATTTTTATTTCTTCTGGTGTTGTTTTTTCAAAATTACTTTCTCCATAACCAATGAGCTTGTTATTTTGTCACTTACCTTTCAAATATTCATTAGTGTGCATGTGCTATTGCACAAAGAGTAGTGATATTGAACTGCTTATTTTCACCAGAAAAAGGTATTTAAATAAGCATTTTATGATGCATGTATAAAAACAAATACTTGCACACTGTATACTTCCTGAGGTTGACATATTCTGAAATCAATTTTCTGAAGTTGTACCATTGTGAAAAGTGATCACTTTGCATGTTCCTTATTTTAATAGATGATTTAAATCTGAAATAGTTTCTAGGTCTTGATTTTTATATTTATGAATGAAGATACTTTTCAATTTGTTTATTTTGTATAAAAGGATAGCTTGTCTAGCGTAGTACATTACTGTGAAGTGTAAAGCTGCTACAAGTATTGGATATTAGTAATGTGTGTTCAATATTACCTCATGATGTTGTGAAATCCACTATTATTACACATACTTTTATAAATATTGTTTCATTTGGTGTAAAATAGAGGTTTTTCTGGATGATTTTTTTCACCCTTTGAAAAATAGATATTTGCTACTTTAAAATGTCTAATATCAATTTATGCAGCACATTTTGTCAAAACACCCCTAAATATCCCTCAAGAATGGTATTGAAATTGTAATCCTGAACTAAAAATTAAAATCTTCCCATAGCAACTGCTCTAGCAATGAAATTTATGGCAATTCTGAACCTCTATGATGGTAATTTTTGCAATTTTTTGACACTGTCTCAGTGCATGTAATTGGAGGGTTGATATGTAGTGTTGAAAATAAATGAATTTTTTGTTTTTCTTTTATTCTGAGATAGTCTGACAGTTATGATGTTAGGTTCATATTTTTCCTCTCTTCTTAAGTTTTAAATTGATGTGTAATTTAGTTGTGTAGTGATATTACTTTTCAAGATATTGTGTTTTTAGACAATCTGAATCCTAGCTTATTAATATGTGCATATTAATGAAATAATTTACATAATTAATTGGAAGTGAATTGTTTTGTGTTACTTTCAAGTTCATCAGAGTTTGAGGTCCTTAGTTTATCCTAGAGTCCAAAACTAGTAATGTATACATCAGTGGGCTATGAGCACCTTAAGTTACGTGAAAGGAATTTAAGTTTTGAGAAAGCAGTTATTATCACAAGTGTTAAATGTTGTATAAATATGATTATTTATAAGAGCTGAGTGAATGTAAAGAAGAATATAATATATTAACAATACTATATCCAGTGCCAATGAGACTGATGTGTTTAAAAAGGATTTGAAAAAATTCAAATAGGATTCCTTAATAGAAAGTTACAATTTGAGATTCGTTTGCTTTTGTGATATTTTGCAACCAGTTTCATTATGCATCTTAGCAAACTGATTACAATGACATTGATTACATATTTATTAGTTACACTTGATTGTAAGATTCAACTAATTGTATTGTAGACCATTAAGATGAAAAATTTTTTGTAAATATTGTCACTAGCATTGAGTTATATGTATGCCAGAATTGTTAATGGTATTCTAGAAGTTTTAAATTTTGCTCTAAGTTGTTAAAATATTTGATTTAAAACCAAATTATTTGGTATCATTTGTGTGTAAAAAAAACAAACCTAGATGATTGTAGTGAAGAGAGTAAGTTATTGCTCTTAGAAACAGTTTTCATTCACCTTTAAAATGTTGTAATCAGAATTTTTTAAATAATTTTGCAGTATCTATAATAGCACATGTATGATGCATTAAATAGAAGAAGAATTTTTAAACTTTTTTATTTATGAGGGATCATAAAGCCTTCCGTCACCATGCCTTTTCTTGTATTTCTAGTAAAATTTTAATGTCACTTGTACCAGTTTACAATCATACTTAAAAATCTTACCATATTAGCAGTGAACACAGAATAATGATTGTTTCAGAATGTTTCTTATTTAAATATCTTGCAGAATTAAACTAATGTACAGTAATAAAATCAACCAAAAGAGTATGTTATGAAGGTTTTAATCTTTTTATCAGAATACAGGACCCATTTATTCTTTAGTTTCACAAGAATTGTAGCTAACACTAAAACTCATAAGTTAAAGCAGTGGTGAAAATTTGGTGTTTGTTTTAAAATTTACACATGAATTGACTTATGATAAATATTGAAATGTGCAATAAATGTTTATTTCTTTTTTAGGTCTAGCAGTGGGGCATGACTAAGCAGAAGAGTAGTGTCTATGGCAGACCAACCTGGTAGGCAAAGAGGGGGGTCCAAAAGAAACGCTCGCCATCATCAACAGGGGTCACGATCTCCTATATGTACTAGGTAAAGTATAATGAATTGAAATAGTTAATTGTTTATTGATTTAAATAATAATTGGACATATTGTATGTGTAAAAGTTTTTAATTTGATAAAAATTGCAGTAGTTTGCAAGCATTGATTAAAGATATAATAGTAAATTGTTAAAAGTATACAATCGTCCAAAATTTTAACTAGACAATAATATTAATTGGTAAAAGCTATTCTTTCACTACAACAGGTAAAGCTTAAAGGAATTAGAACAGTATAAATTACAATGGAAAGGCTAACAACAGTGTTTTATGATTTGCTAAGTGATTATTGGTGTTAGACATGTATATTTTCCTCTGAATAAGATTGAATTGAGTGTGCTCATTTTATTAATAAAGATCATAAACTTTTTTTTTTGAAGTAAACCAAATTATATCCAGAGTTAGTCTTGGAAGAAACACCAGAGATGGAAATGATCAGATACAAAGTGACCACATCAGAAGTATAAACCATAGCAACCATTGTTTTATCTTAGAGAGTTTTAATAATGAATTACAATGTGCACAAAAGTATTGTAATGGCACAGAACTGGTACTTTATAAAGAAGAACTATATTATAAAGTTACATATTATTTATATGTGATCTCAGAATTATAAGAACTTCTGAGAAAATAGTGGATAATAATATGTCAACATATTGTATCTGTTATATAACGAATGTAGTAGTGGTTAAGCTGTTATTTATAATAGCTTTGGAAAACAGTTGTTTCAGTTTTAATTGGATTAAGTTAGTGTAAGTAGGAATGCAAGAAAAGTATAATTAGCTATACTCATTACCTTGTTGATGTTTTAAATTTTACTCTAAGTAAGTAGCTTGCTGTGAAAAGAAGTTAATATGAATTCATCAATTTTGTCACTACACATAATTAGGGTAAGAATTTTTTGACACCATTTTAACACTAAGTAGTTTATTATTACTTACTTATTTTTTTTGAATTAACTTATCATTCAGAAGCATTGGTGAACAGGCTAGCTATTCTTTGTGATCTTGGAGTGAGTTAAGCAACCATAGTATCAGTGGAGAAGACTACAACAGTAATTATAAGAACTTGTGAGTTGAAAGTAAAGATGAATATTTAACATATCAACCACAGCATCTGCTCAACACCAGGGTTCTTATGGCATGCATGGAGTAGCTTGTTTTGTACATATAGATTATTAAGCCAACATAACTCTGTTGTGTATTTTATAGAGTGAGTACAGTAGAAGAATTAGTGTGCTGGAACTCAGAGTGGTGAATTTCAAAATTTATAACATTGAACAGTAGTAAACATTGGAGGAAGGTTTTCTTCTCTTTTTTTTTTTATGTGTGGACTGCCACTGCCTTTTATTTGTTAATGAGTCCTCCTTCCTGTCTAAGTGTTTTCTCATTGTGGGTTTTATAGCACTTTGAAGCATGGTCCTAGTGGAGAGCTCTTTAGTTTGTTGGTTTGTCATTAGTTGATTTGGCATTGTGTTAATCCCCTTTTGTTTTTTGTAGTATATGGTTCCAAATTTTGACAGTATCTAACCCTTGATCTCTGTTGAGAGTTGGCTTTTTCATTTTGTATTGTTATAGCTGTTTTAATTTTCCTGAGTCTCCAGTGTTGTTCTTTGTCTAAGATTTTGTAGTTCACTCTGTCAATATTGCGTCCTGTGTTGTAACAGTGCTTGGCTATGGCTGATTTTTCTGGGTACCTGAGCCACTTTGTATTTACATATTCTTTGATTCTTTGTTGTATAGTCCTATCCGTTTTGCTCATGTAAAACTTTCTACAATTGCTTAAAATACTGTACACCATTTCTTTTGTTTTTTGGGTTTTCAAATTGCTTAACCCAACATGCACAGAGTTGGTCCACAGATAGAGCTAGTATTGGAATATTAATGTTTACTATAGTTCCAGATTTACTTAGTGTACTTTTCATGAAATTTGCTAAGCTTTTAACTCTTTCAGCATGGGCTCGGTCCCTGGAACTGACCTCGTAACCATTTTGTGCTTGTTATAGTTTTCTTGCTATAACAATTAAATTAATGAGCATATGTTAACAAAATTTGGCAGATTATCAGTAAACATTACAATGCTTTCATATGCAAAATATCAAATTTTCTTATTAAGTCTTAAGGTATGTAAAGCAATGTTTTTCTCATGCCTTTTTTTTTTTGCACGTTACCTATCTAACATGTAAAGTAATTTTCATTTTAAGATTGAAAATACTTTTATCTAACAGAAAATTTTCAAATTTCACGTGTGAAATCTATAATGTCCAAATAGTTATCAAACCTTTATTAAGAAAAAAAACTTCATATTTTATCTGTAATTTTCAGTCATCAATCTCTGTACGGGTTCGGTAGACTTGACCGATCTCATAACCACTGTAAAAAATTAAGAAATATAAGTTGTCTCTTTCATTCTAGAATAAAAACAAATTATAACACAAAAACATAAATGTTTAGACTAAATATCTTAAATCTCGTAACATTGTGCATTTATATATATTTATTATTTCTATAATATTGACCTTTCAGCCATGCCTGGCTATCAATATAGAAATTACAATGATGTGGCACATGTGCACTCATGATACCATATCCAATAATATAAAACTGACCTTTGGTCTGTACAAAGTAACTTGTCTTGGCTGTGTTTTAGTAAACAGTCACATTTTAATTATTATACATAATATATGTATATAGATTATTGCTATTTTGAAATAAGTTCTTAAACTTATCTTTTAAAACATAAAACAGTAAGTAAAGCAAACATATATTTTCTAGTTACGAACTTTGTATTCAGTTGCTGCTTGACGTAGGTTACTAAGCCTTTTAAAATTTTGGATGTGGAAGATATAAAACAAAATACTTTTTTCTTTAGGTTTTTATATATACAGTTGAATAACCAAAACATAATAAATTACTATATCAATACCATAGAATTCCCCTGTAATTTATCAAGCTTAGTAACTAAGCTGTATTTGGGTGTAAAAAATATGAAATTTGGAGCAGACCAAAGACACAACCTACCTCCTTGAAATTTTGGTTCGAAAGCAAGAAATGACATCCAAACCACTAGGGGAACATTGTGAGCTTCTGATTGGTTATTCATGTCATATATAGAAGTGTATATAAGGGAGCATTTCCAAAAATGGAAATAGGTGGATAGGGTGCCACTGTGTTTGATTTATTACATGAGCAATATCTTAGCAAATAGGAAAGACATACTTATTTTATATTCTAGCTTGTCAATATCAGTAATTTGAGTTTCTAATTTGTACAAAGCTATAGACTTAGTATTTTGACTTCACAAGCATCTAATTTGAACCAGTGCTGCATTCAACAAACCACTGAACACAAAAATTAATGCTTATGTGTTTTTTAAAATTTACTTTTAAATCAAAAAATTATATAATTTTTAGTATATTCTACAGTTTAATACCAAACTTATTGACATAAATTCATGAAATAGTAGTTTCGCCTTTCACCTGTTACCCATCTTTTTGTATATAAAAAATCAGAAATTTTTGTAAATATTTTTACTAAAGATTTGTTGCCAAATTTACTTTACATAATCTAAGTGCGAGGTGATTTTATATTAAGAATAAAAATACTTTTTCCATCTTACAATTTTCAAATTTTCTTTGCTTAACCTCTAAAACATTTTAAATGAACATGAAAAGTTTTTGTTTTTTCAGTAAAATTATATTTTATCTAGTATTTTATTTTCTCTAACACTATAGGGCTTAGTCCATTTGACCAACCTTGTCACCACCATAAAAAATGTGAAACAAATCTAAATTACCTTTTTTTATTTCTAGAGCAACTACAGATTGTAAGAGAAAATTGCAATTATTTATCATAAACAGCCTCAGGCTTGTAACAGTTTGTCTATTTTCATTTAGTTTTATTGTTTTATTGCTCTTTGAATTACATCAAACTACTAAACATGCATAACAAAGCTATAAATCACTCAGTAAGTGCATAGCTCATCTCAAACATAGTATTGAATTATGTAATTCATGAGCAGCTTGTGAATGTACTTGCTGTGAAATTTTTTAAACTTTTTATTATATTTGTGTTACCCAACCTAATAAGTTTCTCATTTTTACATTGTAATTACTTTTATAGCAATAATTAATAAATATACATAATAGACAGGAAATTCAGTACTTATTTATGGTATTTTGTTGTTGTTGTTTTGCCCTCTGTCCCTAATGAAAGTTAACCCTATTTTTTTGTAATTAATTAATAATAATAATATATTTATTTCAAATATGCAATTAAGAACACAAAATGTGAGAACAAGCTAATTTTATTCAGAAATTAGTAAATTTAAATCTTTTTCTATTGGTTATAAGTAATCCAATAGCAAATGTCAGAATTACTGATGTGATAGGAGGGTGTGGCATATGGGTTTGACTTTCTGGTTTATATCTCTTTTAAACAAAGAAGATTGGAAGCTATGAAATTAGATTGTTTTAGCAATGTATACTTTAAATGAGCAATTTATTTTCCACTCAGGACATATGTTTAATAAGAATAAAATGGGCTATTTGGAGTGAACAAGTGTCATGTGACACAAAGGAATGAATATTGAAAATTCTTTTAAAAATAAGATTAAAATATGTATGTAATATTAAAACTTGATTATTAACTAAGTTTCAATGCCAAGTTTTTTGACATACATTGATAATAAAGCAGTTTATTTTAGTTTTAAATGTTACTATGTAAAAAGTTGACACACAATTTTGACCTCACCACCTGTGCACAGAGGATTAACAGAAGATAATGTCTTTGAGAATTTTTCTGGTTTTGAATGTATTGTGATATTAGATTATTTGAGATCCTTCTGATTTTGTAGCTTGTATTTGGGGGAAAGATGGTGGAATTTCTGTCCTGTATTGTATAATTTAATGGGTTTTTTTTTCTTTCACTGACAGTTCAATGGTAGCTGTTTGTTTGAAAGGTTTTCTAGATGAGATTGAGTTCTTATTTAAGTTT